TCACTTCATCGCAAGTAATATTTGTTTTAACTCTTAAGAAAAGTATTTTGAAGTACTGAGATTTGTACACTTAGTATAAGACTATAAATAGACAATGAATTAAAAATTGTACACTAAAAAGAGAGAAAACTGAGAAGGGGAAAAAAACAGAAGAAGAGTACAGTGGATGATAACATTTATTTGCAAACTTGTACAGGCGAACTGGAAATGGTGATATCTGATTTACTATAAACAAGAACAGAACTGCGGACAGTTGTGTGTTCCCTCATGGCAGCTGGTCTGCCTTGCCTGAGTGGCAGGGTGGTGGCGTGTACGTCCCCTCCTTCACCATCTTGTCACGCTGCTGACGGATCGCATAAAGCCTCTCGTGCTGCAGGGAGTAAGAGAAGAAGAGGTTAGTACTGAGGCGGACAAGGATGGAGAGAAAGAGGGACAAAATTAAGTAAAGAAAATGTTCTACATCCTCCACCTTTTGTTTCACTTTGCCTAAAAATGAGGATGATTAAGTCAAAGACAAAAGTGATTTCAACATCGTCTTTGACTCGTGTGTCATTTGAGAAACTGAGGAACTAGAAGAAGAACTGCTTCCTACCCCTGGTCTCTGCTGTAAAGTAACACACAGAACTCTGTCCAAATCATCAAAATGGAAAATCCAGCTGAGATGCAGGCAGTCAAATATAGTCTTGTGTATTGCAATCAGCTAGTTAACGACTAACATTTCACCCTTAATAAATTACTTTCACGTCAGACTCAAACATCGTGCTAGTTGACATTCATCTTTAATCAGCACTTGGCTAATGAGCAAATCAAGGCGTCTGCATCCAGGCAAGGAAGTTAGTGCTGCTGCAGCACATTCGCAGTGAGCAGGCAGCACGTCTGTCAGTCTCTCCTCTGCTGACACACACAGCCATTAAGACTGACCTCAGTTTAACTCTGGCATTATATAAAGCATTAGATTTGTCTTTCTGAGCACCCTTATGTTTGTTTTGTTTTTTGTTCCTTTATTCCTTTTATTCTCTTCCTCCCTACAATCCATCACACCAAACTCTATATAAGAATCAGGCAGTTGAAAGTTGCTTAGGTAAAAAGAAATGCCGACATGTATAGCATTAAAGCCAAATAAGGCCTCTAACTCAGTGGGAGGCAATTGCATCTAATACTGTCTGAGAGTTCATGAGAAACTTATAAGCAGCATATTCAGTTTTATTTTAAATCCTTTTAAAGCTAAGCAAACAGGATTAGATGGCGTAAGCAGCACGGTTACTTTATCAGCAGACCCAAATGACGCAAACAAACTCTTGAGTGATGCCCTACAGGCTATGATACAGGGCCTACAAAGTGTATTCACCCCCCTGGGCTTTCTCATGTTTTAGTGTTTTACAGCATAGTGGACATAATTAGGATTTTCTGACACTGCTAAATAGAAAGTTTCACTTTGACAGTGACAAAAGAAGTGCAATTACATCCACTGTGATGTTTTAACACAATAAAATGTGAAAAAAGTGTCTATTAATAGCAATTTTTCTTTTTATTCTGACATCATGATAATAAAAAAGTGGGCCAATGCGAGACAGACAGATCCATTTAACAAAAAGTCACATTATTAAAAAGCAAGTGCCAAAAGTCACAAGTGTCTCTAACCTTCGGGCTGCTGCCGTCCCTGTTTTGTTCACAGCATGTGCCTTTATTGCCTGCTGGTATACTGATTCTTTTTTTAACTACTATAGTGGAAAATATTGAGTTAGCTCAGTTATAGCATCCAAAAAGGACACAGTGCCTAACAAACACTATCATAGCTCTGCAATATATGAACCCTGGTTTTGTAAGTCAGTCAACTCTACAATTAAAAAATACTTCAAAATGCTGCTGGCTGCATACAGAAGTCAATAAGTGGTCACACCCAGAGACTTACTGTCTTCTGCCTGTGCATGCACTCATAGAAGTCCTCAAACTCCAGCTGGCACTCCTTCTTGGCGCGGGTCTGCCCGATCCCGTGGGAACATTCAACCCACTCCTTCTCAAAGGCGTGGCAGCGCGCTGGCCTCTTGTTGGGCTGCTCTCCGCTCTGCAGCAGCAGCCAGCGGTCCAGGTTGATGCCAAGACGCGTCTGCAGGTCCACAAGCGGCATGATGCTAATGAAGGAGGAGCAAGGAGGGATGGAGAAGAAAGGGTGATGAAGGACGTAGTGGAGAGGACAGAGAGAACACACCTTGAAAAACTGACATTAGAGAAGTAAAAGGGTGGGAACAACTGAGAAAAACACTGCATATTGTCCAGCACTGCATGGTTATTACATATACCACTGATACAGCAGTGGTCAGTGTAGATAGCAGAGCACATTATTTAGATTTACAGTATCGTAAAAGAAGGCACTTGTTGCAGTTCAAAGGAAAGTTTCAAGGACATGTTAATCTTTCAGCATTAAAATGAGAATCACAATCCTCAAAGTACAATTTCAAATTTGCTTGATTTCAAAACAAAATGCCATTTGACAACAAGGTCTGACTGAATCCCTGTGGGCATTAAATAAGCCACATTAATGGTTACTACCAAAAGCTACAGTTTAAGACCCCTGCTTTTAAAACTGCTAATGTTTGTTACAGATCCAGAATGATTGATTTTGAACCAGGGACTGATGAAGGTGCGGCAGCTGCAGCGTTTCCCAACTGGGTTTGGGGTTAAAAATTGTTAAGCCTGTTTAGAAAGAAAACACCTTTGTATTTTCTGCACATACAACATGATGTTATGTTAATTAGAACAATTAACCCCCATAATATTCTAGTTAACTGCTGATACAAACACAAACGAGAAATTATGCACAACAGTGCAGAATGAAACAGGGCATGAATCTTGCTTTCATAGGTGCCCTGGCATTTCAGTCTGCTGTATCCCAGACTTAGAAGTGACAATTAAATTATTGTTGGAATTTCAGTACTTTACATATATGAAATAATTTAAATACATTCATTCATCTCGCAGCATGTTAAAGCTGCATCACGCAGTCTCTTAAAGGCTGCTTTTATGTGGATCAAACAGACGTGCAAATAAACATCACTTTATGTACGTGGTAAAAGCAAAGGTATGTCTTTGTGATACTTTAACGTTTCTTTTAACGGAATAATCACAATTGTGGCCAAATAAGTGTTTGCAGTTTATAGCGTAACCAGGCATGACATTTACTATAAGCAATAATAAAAGCCTGTTGTTGCAGATGGATTATGTGTTTGGTAGGTGTATCTAATATCCTTGTTTATATGTGGAAAACAGACTATTGCCTATAATTATCATGACTTTGTTATATACAAAACAAAGACATGATCTCTCTCATGATTATCCTTAAGACTCTACATTATTTTACTTGCAGTGTACAAACCAATCCAGTCCTTTTTACCGGTTGAAATATCTTTAAATGGCCAAAACAACTCATGTAATGTATTATTCCACTTGCCAGAAAGTGATTGCAGCCTCTACTTCTTGACTGAAAAGGTAGTTTCTGCCTCAAAATGACTTGATTTCATTCAGAAGACTTATATTTGACAGTTTACAAAATCGAAATTTCCCCACTTTTTTTATAATTCATATATAATGATATTGTATTTTTTTAATGACATACTGCCCACCAAACCAAGTTTTCATTTCAGAAATCTGCTCATCTTACCCCATACAGTAAAATTATTTAGGTCCAAACTAAATGTTATTTGCACGAATGTCATATTTAATAATCTTGCTATAATAAAACTCCTTTCTCCGTTATTACTTTTGACTAACCTTAACTTTAGCTCGCTGGCTAACTACAACAGCTAACGCTAGCCAGCCAACCTCCTCTGTAAAAAAAAAAAACAACATGTGAAAGCTCTGTGTTTTTTATTTAAGTCAAAATATGTCCAGATTAACGAAAGACCCTCGTCTAAAGTGTCCCCGGGTCAGATCTTTGTTTTTATTCAGAGTTTCAGACCCCGAGTCTCCTTCAATGACAGCCTGCTAATGCTAACAGCAGGCCGCTCTCACCTCACTCTGTTTACAAACCGCTGCTATTTACAAACACACTATAAATTATACACGGTATCAAATTAAGTACCGCGCTGCTGAGACGACGACATTATACTGAAAATGTCTGTATTTACCGTGTTTTGCAGGATTCACTTCACTAACCTTCCCCCGACTTCACCCGTTTCGCTTTACGGCTGACCAAAACAGAACCGTAAAACCACAGACTGTGTCGTGAAGGGACGCGACAGTCGTGTGTATCTTATTTGTCGAATTCATTGGCTTAACAGTGAAACAGCGCCGCCTACTGAACTGGAGTATAACGAACTGCTCAGCAATAGTGCAAAACACTAATTACCTTTTATGTAAATCTAACAACAATTACACATTCAGATGTTTTAGGATGTTGTGCATTTGATCAGAGGTGCATTGTTTGAACTTAAAGTAAACGTATAAGTATCAGGAAGATGTGAAGTATTAAAAGTATAGTACTCAATGCAGAAAATAATATTGTTATATTTTGTATCATTAGATTATCATCACTCATTACTCATTAAGAAGGATTCTACTGTTGTAGTTGTTGAGGTGGAGCTCATTTTTAACAATTTTGTATTAGACTAAAACTAATAATTATTTTCTACAATAATCAATTGATTGTTTGTAAAAATTAAGAAAATATTGAGAAATACCGTTACAAATTTTCATAACCCAAAGTGACTACATTTACAATGCTCATATAAACTGTTGAGTATTTTAATTTATAATAAAATATATTTTATAAACTTTTCATGTTTTGTGTGCAAAAATCTTAATTTAAAGTTATCAAACAATCATGGCGAAGAAAAAAGTATTTCCCTCTGAAATGTAATGGAGTAGAAATACCTCAATCCTTGGCATTTGTGGGTTTTTTAGCACATTTAAAAATTCTCATGGCTTCTACACTTTCAGCAAAATTGCTTAGGAAAGATTGCAATATGCACATATACACAGTACAACAAACAACGACTTGACTATTTGGTGCAACATCAGGTTGTGTTTATTTAATTTTCCCCAAAGGTCCACAAGTTGTCTTTCACAGTCCTGCTTGTACAACCCCACACAGGGCAGGGCTTGAACAGAGACAGGAAATACACAAACATAATATAATAACACTTAAATATTGCTATCTATATACTCTAAAACCTTTTCAAATAAGGACAGGACCACTTGTGGTCTTAATGGGACACTTCCATTAACACGCACACTCTGTCCGTGGTACATTCGCGTGCTTTCTCACAGGCAGGCAGGCAGAAACATGTGATAAGTGCAGACCAAACAAAGCACTGCCAGGTTATATAAGCAGCTAAATCCATAAAGCTACTCTGAGATGAAAAAGGTTCCCAAGTCGATTCCTTGCAGATTAAAGGAAAACCTGGTAGAAAACCTGGTAGAAAACCGAAGCACAGAGGTGATACAAAGCTAAGAAACAATTCAGGCTAGTGAGTATGATTAAGAAGAGCTTATCGGCATCAATATTTGAAGTGTTTGGCTCCAAAAGTGAAATTGACTTTTAAAAGATGATTAGTAACACACAAACTAATACAGACAAACATAAAAAAATCACAAAATTGATAAAGATTCCTTGGATGCCCTTTAAAAAAGGCTGGATGATAAACTTGACAAAGCATCTGTTTAAAAAAAATGCTTATTTGATGTTTTGGAGCCGAACTCTTCTTTAGTTACATCCAACATAAAAGGCCTTCTGGTAGGTGATTTATTTTGGTTGTACCACAGACATTTGTATGCAATTAAAAAAGAAAGTAACAGATGATGAATAGCAAAAAAAAAAAAAAAAAACTGAAACAAAGATAAATACAATAAATTCAGATAAAGTGCACAAGTGCTCATTCAAAAACAACATGGGACAAACAAATACATTCATCAGAAGCCCATTCATTCACTCACAATGTTCAAGTGGGTCGCACATCAAGTTAACACATTGGAAACCAAAATTAGTCAAGCGTGTGTCATGCTGTTGTGTTGGCAGCCAAAACAATGGTCCAGTCACATGACACACAGCAGGACCACAGTGAGAAAGTTCTGACAGTGAGCAGCGTCGGGTTAGGCTGCCAGCTTCAGGTGGAAATCAAGTGTTTTATTCAGAGCCTCAGTGACCATGAGTCTTCAAAAATGACCACAAATTACAGCTGAAATAATTCATCAATTAGTCAAGTGACAAAAAAGTAATCAGCAGCTATTTTGATAATAATTAATCGCTTCATTATAATTATTTATCTGGTTCCAGCTTCCCCAATTAGAGGACTTGTGGTTTTTCATTGTCATATCATGTCAGTAAGCTGATAATCTTTAGGTTTTGGACTGTTGGAAAATGATAGTGGATGTTTTTCAATATTTTCTATATTATATATAATATATATATATTATACTTTTTATTTTATAAATGTTTTGGACCTTGGACTGAAATTGTCAAATATTTCACCTTTTTTGGCCCTCAAGCTGTTTCTGGAATGAAACCATCTAAAACATTAGAGGTGAAAATTTGTCCTTTGAGTGAACAGCTAACAACTTAAGACAATAATTGGTAGAATAATCACTAAAGAAAATAAATTTGTTGCAGTCCTAGCGAAAATCCATTCAAATTTTATTACTTTAACTTTTATATACTATAGATAGCAATGAATTACTTGTAACCACTTCAGTTTCAAAAATGACCGTAAAAAGTCCCATCTTTCAGGGGTTTTCCACCACAGCTCACAGTCTTTCTCACAGTCACAGAGTTTGCTCAGTTGTCATAGTTAGAAATGTTATCACCATGAGTAAACTCCATCCCCTGAGGAAGACTAAAAATCGCAGAAAAACCAGCAGGACTTTTGGTTTCTGCTTTTATGAGATTAACATTATATTTAGGTACGTTTATACGTATATATGTGTCTCAGTGGATCATTTGTGAAATGATAAATGAATGTTTGATGTACATCTCAGAACAAAAAAGTGGGACAACCCTGTCCCCTATACTGGGCTGTCCTTGACTATTTAAAATGTCCTCAGTGTGGAAAAGGTCCTAAACTGTCATAGACCAGCCATGTCATTGTCAGAACTCAATCACTTATTTCTGTAGTTTCAAAACTTCTCCCAGTCCTGCTTCTCCTCCCTTGTGCAGGGAAAGTGAGATTCAAGCACAGATTTATCCTCTAAAGTAAACTTTAACTTTCACCAGTGTAACAGAAACACACTGCCCTTTATAACCTTTCACACAAGGTATGGCTCATGCAGAATAATGCGCACAGCAAATAATACAATTTCAAGGTCATCTGAATATAAATTGAGGAAAAGGAAGAAAATAAAGCCACAACAGTTGTGTGCAAAGCTCACATTCATTCACACATTGTTATAAACATCCCCTCTGTCCTTCTCCCTCTGCTGTGCTTGGTGACATTTCACCTTATTTCATAATTTCAAATTTGCAATATTTCTTGTGGAAAATTTGTACCTCTTTTTTCTTTTTGCTTAAGTAGCCAAGGCATTTTGCACCAACTAGTAAACATTAATCTTTATCTTATAAATCTCAGAGGTAGAGCCCTGACAATTTACTCAGTGAGGAGATTGACAGGTAGATAGATAAGACAGACAGACAGACAAAAGTAAACAAACCCTGTCTGTGTTTAAGACAAGTGTCTGTGAGTCGCAAAAGCAGCAAACGAGAAATGAAGAAGCCATGAAGTAAAGAGAGAGAGCTCAAATGTAACATTTGGGGGATTGGTTTGTTTTTTTGTGCAATCTTGAGAGCTGCTCTCAGACGTAGAGGATGACGTTACTGTCTGCGGGACAGTGAAGGCCTTCGGAGGGGTTCAGGACTCGGCAGGAGGGGCCCTGGGGCTGCTGGCCGGCCCCCAGGTGACAGCTTTTCGGGTGAGGAGAGTCACAGTCGTCTGACGTCAGCTCTGCGATGTCGTCTGATTGAGTGTCCGACATCTCCAGGTCACTGCGGATGCTCTCCGGTTGAGCCAGGGTGACGTCTCTGAGACCTTCCCTGATTGATGCTCCTGGGGACAGTCCCAACGCAGAGCCAGACAAAGCTCCGCCCCTTCGGGAGCTGCAGTCCTGAGGCTCTTCCCCTCCTGAGACGGTCGCCATAGCAGCAGAGCCCGGGGGCGGTGTTAGGTCCTCTTCGCTAGTCAGGCAGAGATGGCTGGGTTTGGTCTCGATGTCCACCTGGATCTCCAGGTTGGTGCACTCCCTGCAGAGACACATGATTTACAACAAGTCAGTCTCAGTGTGACACAGAGAGGAAGATATCTTTGGACTATAATGGAAAACTTGCAACAACTTTTGTAGGGTCCACTGGATTATATTAGTTATATAGAACAGGAACTTTTTGAGAACAATTGGAAATGTATTTAAAGGATAGATGCACTGAGTCAACATTAGTTTGACTTTGAAATCATTTATCCATAAATGTGTGTTTAGAAAAATCAGGTAAAAAGCATACAGAATTTGCTGCTTTGTTTTGAAAAACGGATATTCAACCTTTTGAGCCATTGATCTTTTAAGATGTAAGATTATTTTTGCTAAAGAATATGTGTCTGAGAACGGCCTTAGACACCACCATGATGAAGGCAAGATAAATATATAAGAATTAAAACGTTTGTAATTTTAATTTTGATGGTCTTGTACTAAAGTCTGCTGACATCAAATTCTTAACAACAAAACCATTCAGAAACACGGCCGTATCTTCTGCTTAACACCCATATATATAACCGGAAAATAGTTTAAATGCTTGTATGGGTTTAAAAAACAGGGACATCGAGAAAAGGGTGAACAAAGATTTCCTTTCACAGCAGCCACATGCATTTACGTGAAGCTCTGCAATGATGTTGTGATATGGCCTATTTCCTGTCAAGTATTTGCATGCTACTAATGTAGAGGGGGATTTAAGCAGCAAAAGACTACAAGTTACAAACGAGACAATGACATGAGATCATGGCATCAACCTGCCAAGTCATCAGATTAGATCTAATTCTATAATCTCAGTCACATCCAAATCTAATCTGACAGAACGACAGACGAAACTCTGCAATAACAAAAGTAAAATGTCAAGAAAAAAAAAAAAACATCAGTGCAGAGAGAGACCAAAGACACCACAGAAGAAGAAAAGTGTCACCTGTCAGGTAGTGTGTAGGAGGAGATGATGGATCCGGCCATTCCACGGGTGCTGGCACAGTCGCTCCCTGCTCCCAGGCTGCCTGTCTCCCTCTGGGCCGACTCTTTAGCCAACTCCCCTGCCTGCGCCTCCAGCCTTGAGGACAGCAAACAATCATATTACAAATGACATTGTTCTATTCTTCTATTAATACTTGAATGAGGAGCAAAAAAAACATTTGCAGTGCACACAGACCATGAGAAGAGCCATGACACTTTTAATTCAACTATTTTTGTTACCTCTGCAAATGGAGTTCATGTTTTCACACCTAGTTTGTTTTTATGTCCACGAACAGGACATCTTGATATTTTATGACCAATGGGCAATTAAGGAACTTCTAATTAGATTTTGTGTTTAGGTAATTATTGTTTTTGGACACAACTCTCTTGACTTGAGCTGATTCCATAAAGGTAAGTTTGAAGGGTCAAGAAATCAATTTAAAATTAAGCTTGAGACTTATGACAAAATAATCTCACCGCAAGGTCTATTTAACAGCTGCTCATCTACTTCATGGACGAGAAGTCCTTACACCTCTCAGACAGCTGTGCAACTTCATCTGATGAGGAAGTGTGATACATTGAAAAGCTCCACCAATAGCTACTAAATCAATGTTGCGGTGTGATTGTTTTATCAACACCCTAAAATTTAATTTAAATTCTAATTAGAAGTGTTGTCCTTGTTCTTGTGAAGTACTACATGTAGCGGGCTGGACAATTTAAGAGTGCCTTTAAGTTTAAAGAGACATTTTGGAGAGAAAAATACAGCATATTTATAGTTTATAGTTAAGTTTTCACATTACCCATATTGCTTCATCTCAGTATGAAGCAAATCAAATTTTACTTTCTCATGAATAACTTTCATTCTGCTTTATTAGGCCATAAATAGTAAAGAATGACTGAATAGAGCAGAACAGGAAGAGGGACTCAAACGCAGCAACCCTTGAACTTACACTTGGAGCTTTTCCTCACCTGCTGTACTTGCCGGTGCGTGTTCCCAGGGCTCCGCCTGCCAGGGTGTTAAAGTGGGGTGTATCACCCAGATTCCCAGGGGCCACAGAGAGACCTTCGCTGGGGGAGGTGGTACTCAAACCGCTGACAGCCCCGTCCAGACTGCTCTCACCGAGGCTCGGTGACTTGAGGGCTCGCCACGCATCTGCCACTGCAGAATTAGATAGAGAAAATTCCTTATAGCACATGTGAAAAGGTGTAATATAAAGATGTGATAAATAACATCCTCCCACTCTACTTTGAAGGAAATGTTATCAGTTTGTTGTCCTTACCTGTGATTGGACCATCGTCCTCATCAAAGTCGATCCGTACACCTCGTCCCTTCCCTCTGCTGACACCACAGCCTCCTCCGCGACACAAAGAAATGGGCACCACACCGTACACGTAGGCTAACATGATGGGCACACCAATACCTGAAATGGGACGGAAACAGAAATTGTTTCACACAAATAGAGTGAATAATCAGCGTAAAAGAAGATCTAGATTTATTCATTTGAATTTCGGCTCTGACACGAGGAGTACGTTGTATGATCACAATAAACTTTAAGAAGTAAGTAATAAAGAAAGAAGAGAAAGAGGAAAAGAGCAAGAGAGTATAAGGAGAGAATTTACTTAGAGACTATACATTTAAAAAAATCTTTGAATATCATTTTTGTTTGAGAAAAAATATTAGGTTACTCTCTAAAATGTAGCTGTTCATTGCCCTTTCCCTTATTCTAGGCGATGAACAGCCATGTGTGTCTAGACACTGATAAACCAACTGTTCTCAGTTTCTCAGAGAGATTCACAGTGCATAATAGATGGCGGTCTTGTCGAGTTTCTTACCGACGCTGACAGCTGCGATGACCGGAGCAGTTATGATGGACAGGGCCACACCTCCTGTGATGGCCAGGTTCCTCCTGTGACGAGACGACTTCTTCAGCTCGTAGTGGGCGTGGATCTGTAGCAGAGGAGAGCAAAAAGAGACGAGTTAAAACACATCTCCAACTCATCACAGAAGGTCAGAGGGAAAGCTGAACATGGGCAGGGCTGGTGGTTAAGGTTTGGTATAGGTTTGGGGAGGTCAGATTTTTGGTGAATTTAAAATGACGGATGGAAAAAAGGATCAATATTATGTCAATGTTGTCATGGAACCAGAAAAGTAAATATATAAAGAATAACGTTTGATCTTTATTTCCTTCAGACTCTATCTAACTCTATCTATCAAGGCCGTAGGCACGACTCTAAATTTTCATGCTCTTATCTTTTTTTTTTTGTATTCTTCTTTACACTTGTTAAAGCACTTTGTAACTTGTTTTTGAAAAGTGCTCTACAAATAAGGATTATTATTATTATTATTATTATTGTGCTGTCCATATTCCTCTCCCAAAAACCTTTGGATTATTTACGTGTGTGCTGTTTTAAAGCTATCTCTGCACTGCCAGGACTTTTCGGAAATGGTAAAGCCCACAATATTCAAAGTTACATAAAACATTAGAATCATCCTTAAACAAAACATGTGTAGTTTGTATATATTTGTAAACTCTTCCTTGGGTTGTTAAAACCCCTAAATTCCAAGAAACAATCCCTTGGACAAGTAGTCTCTGTGTTCAATGGCAGCTACGATGCCTTAGACTCTGTGGAAACACTTGTTAGTGGTGACTTGTTAGTTTCTCAAGAGGAACTTAAATTACAATCTACAAATACTCACTAAAACACCAACCACATGTTTTCACACACGGACAAAAATAAACAAGTTCAGATGCAATTGACATAGTAATATATGGTGTGATACAACAGAGAGCTTCTACTGCAAGAATCCACGTTTGCATTTTAAACACAGTGCTACTTCTTTCAGTACAATTTTTTTTTTTTTTAAGAAGTAAAACAAGGCTGCTTCACTACTTTCACTAGCAAAATTAGCACTGAATCATTTCATGAAAAGATTCTGTCAGTAATTCTTTGACTTAGAGATATTTGGGCAGGATCTAACATGAGGTAGACAAACCCTGTTTGTTACTGAGCTGCTCCAGTAAATCAACAAGTTAACCACTTCCAACATGTCACGCTGTGCCAGATCTGGCTTAATTTGAAATGTGCAGTTTTGCTCTTCTCCACAAGAGAGTGCTATAGCATGTTAGTGTGGATCAAATACTTCTACCAAATGCCCATTGTCAATTTCCTTCCTCTTGTAGTTATTTGAAAGACCACAGTCCTTTGCACGTGCTATTTTGTCACTAGTAGTTTTGTCTCCAATAATACAACCGTATAAGCAACTGCAAAAACACAACAAAGCCATGGTACCATAACATTTATCGAGACAAAAGTGGATTTTAGAAAGCCCAGTTTATGACTTTTAAAGACCTTTAAGATTGCTATGTTATAATAATAGTTAGATTTCCCACCAAGTAAACAGCCAACATGATAAAACAAACAAAGGTCACAAAAAATACTGTTTCCAATAAAAGATGTAAATTTGTGATTTTAAAAGTGAGCAAAACAAGACAGAGGGGAACAGGAAAGTCGCTATTTCTGGTCCCATTCACTTCTTGTGAATCAATTCATGTCATGTACTTTTTTCAGTTGCTTGAAATTCCAGCTCTGCCTCAACTAAATGTCAATGAATCTAAAAGATCTATCAGTATCTTCAATTTAAAACTTTCATTCATTGATGCATAAAAAAACAGAGGTGTTAATAACTCAAAGGCTTTCAAGTTAATTTGCCATTTAAGTGGGCCTTAATTTACCAAAAGTCATCTGTGGGATTTACTTAAAAGTAAAGTGCCAACATCTGAGGTCATTTTGATTGTTGACGTGAATGGAAATGGAAACAAAAGTACTTTCTGTCATTTCTAGAAAACTCTTGACATTATGTTAAAACAAGGACAGCAGAGTGAAACTTAGACGAAAGGGTTTTCCTTCTGCAATGTTGTAAATTCCAGATAATCACCATAGGAGTCTTGTGAAAGAATGACTATGTGTCGGTGCTGTAAACTTTTTCTGTGTGTTGCCACAACTGTGCGGTTTTACACTTCTGGTTTCTAAAGCAGTGTGGACAAAGATAAACTGACCATAAAGAAAAAGAAAAAAAGCGTTGCTCACTTTGAAAGACATTTTAGTTAACTGCAAACAGGGGAAATGAAGAAAGGAGGCGTCTGTTAGTTTCAGTGTGCACTTTGAATGTTTATAACTGCATAAAGATAACAAAGTTCTAAATAAATAATGTTTTATAATTCGCCTTATCAGTTCCTCCCCAAAAAGTCCCCTCCACGTCTCTAATTTCCATTTCCTTTTGAACTTATGTCCTGGATTTTGTTTGAAAGTTTGACTGAAAATGGGTGAAAAAACTTAATTAAGTTAGACTCAGATGCTGGATTATATCTAAAATCTAAACAAGGTCAAAAGTTAAACAATTTAATAAAACGCTCCACACTACAAACTTGCTTAACAGAAGAGTTAAACAGAGAATACTACAAACTAGAGGAACAAGAAAAGCACTATACTTCTTTACTTAGGTTTATTATGCTGCACTAGTAACTGCAGCTTCCTTGCACTCTCTGTGGGTTTCTCACCTTGCGGCCGACGTAAACGGGGATGCCAATGACCATGGCGGGAACAGCGATGCCTGCGATGAGAGTGATACCGACTGGAGCTCCAATCAGGGTGCCCAGCTGCCACAAAATCTTCTTCTTCCTACTCCAAGGCTTCTTCCCCCAGAACGTACAGCCAGATGGACTGATGGAGACAAACACAGAGGGGGGGGAGGAAGAAGAAAGGGATAGTGCAGGAGGGAGGACGGGAGGAAAGATGAAGGAGAGAGTTAGGGTTTAGTTGCGCATCGAAACAAGTCTAACGATATAAAAAGTGAAAGAATAAATGTCAGTACCTGAGGTAGTGCAGGTCGGAAATCTCCTTCATGCAGAGCCAGCAGAACTCACAGCCGCAGACGGCGCAGGTCATGTGATTGCAGCTCCCATCATTCATCTTGATGATGTAGGCACCACAGCGAGGGCAGGGCTTGATGTCATCAGCTGAGGGCAGAAAGAGGCGCTTAGTGACATCGCTGATATCAAGACATGAAGAGTCTGAATTAAATTCTTTTCTTTGATTTCAGATTTTTTGATTGTGGTTAAAAAGTTGAGTTGTTCATTTTGAATTTGGGAAATAGGCTTATTAGCTTTCTTGTAGAGAGTTAGCTGGTTAGCTTAGCTTAGCAAAAAGCTGGTAACTGGCGGAAGTCTATGCTTATTTGAGGAATAGATTTGACCACAAGTTCTTATGTGGATTTTGTCACAGTTGGAGAGAAGCAGGCTAGCTGTTTCCCCATTTCCAGTCTTTATGCTAAGCTAAGCTAACTGGGTGTTGGCTATAGCTTCGCAATTATCGGACACATACTAACTCTTAACAAGGAAGTGGAAGTGTATTTCCCAGAATGTCGACAGTCCCTGACTTCATTACCTCACCTAAAATCCACCTTAAACCCCAAACATCCTCCCAACTCAATGTTGAAACTCAGTTGTGAGCAATGACTTTTTAGGCCGCCCAACAAAATCAAGCAGTATAACTTTAAATTCTTCAGTCAATCTCTAGTAATATTAAACCCCTAAAACACAAAGCTATTTGGTTTATTCTTCTTTGAACCTGGTTAAAAAAATCCTTTGAATTCATAAGACTCCAAAAAAGAGTTAAAGTACAAATATTTAGCTGTATTTTTCTCTCTTTTCTGTCTGTTGGCAACAAAATCAAACCTTATTAGAGTAATGGATTGGACAACTGCAGCAGTTTACACTCTAATGGATTTTAAAGGAAAGAAAGCCAAGAAGAAAAGTCAATTTACTGTGTGTTTGAATTCTGGAGCTAGTAACATGTTGGCATTTTAACTTGAAGAGACTCTGCTAGATCTGGCCAAGTGTGTGCGTGTGTGTGTAGGAGTAGTTGTTATTGTTTGTGTACTCTGTATTCTGCTGACATGACTCAATACTCTCACTTTCACCCTCTCTTTCTTCTTCTTCTCTCATTTTTTCCATTCCTCCTCTCTTTCTTCTGCGGCCATCTTTCCTGCTCTTATTCCTGCATCTCTCTTTCCCTCTAATTTCTTCTTCTCTCTCTCATCCTCTGTATTTGTACATATGTCTACATCCAGGTGACTAAGCAGCAGGCGTGAACAGGCAAACAGAGAGGGAGCGACATGGAGTTTTTTTATGAGTCAGTTTCGTCCTTCTGGATTGATGTCAGCTCTTCTGAGTACTTGGCAGAGGGAGGCGGATTGGAAGTGGTGTATTAGGGAAAGACAGAGATGAATAACTGGGGACAGCTGGAGGGATTTAGTTAATAGATTTTTTTAATAAAAATGGAATTAAAGATATGCATAAGCAAGGATGTTTGTTTTTATCTATCATCACTAAAACAAGGGCATTAAAGGGCTACCTCAATATTCTTGGAAATACGCTGCTTTGCTTTCTTACAGAGAGTTAGATGTGAAGACTGATACTACTCTCATGTTTGTGCGGTAAACATAAAACTACAGCCAGGAGACAGTTAGCGTAGCTTAGCATTAAGACTATAAACAGGGGGAAACAATTAGCCTGCCTCAACAACAATATTTAAATGAGTGTTGCAGTTGATGACGGTGAAGGATCATTTGAACTATTTTATATACTGCTGGGTAGCTTAATCTATAATAACACATTATTTATTTGTTGATTATGTTTTATATTAATAATCAGAATCTGCAACATAACTAGTAAGTACAGCTGTCAAATAAATGCTGTAGTAAAATGTACAATATTTCCCACTTAAATTTAGTGGAGTAGAAGTATAACACAGGATAAAATGCAAAGTAAATTACAAATACATTAAAATTTTACTTGTATTTGAGTAAATGTACTTCTACATCTACTACTACTACATCTCACAGCTTCCCATTCAGTCAATTCATCTAAATCTAAAGAGCGAAACTGAGTATTTCCCAAAATGTCAAAAGTACTTTAGGGCAAAACTGAACAAACTTCATTGAAACATAAATTGCCATATTATTTCACACACACACAACTGCATGTCTTATAAGTGAGTAGCTAATGGCTCAGTGTTGGAATTCATCAAGTCATGACACCAATTAAATTGTCTGTGACAAAAGCTTTGTGCAATTTTTTACAATACTGTGACATTTTAAAGAATCTGTCCTTTCTAATTGTTTTTGGCACAGCTTATTTTGACTCTGTTAATGTGTGAAAGTACAGTTAAAGTCAATGCATATGTCCAATAAAGAATAGTCTCAAAATGATTATTGATATTAACTATATTAAAAAATACACTTGGTCTGCACTTACAGAATAGTGCTGTTGTTTTACAGCACTTTAGTAAGGAAGTTACTTAATATACCATTTTGAAGATATGACTAAACTAAGTTAAGATAAAGAAAAGTTACGGTGACATTTTAAAATGCTGCATGACAGGATGCAGGGCATTGTAGTTACAAAACTATAGAGAGAAGAAAAACTGTGATATAAATAGCGTTTCATGCTATGGTTTCATGCTCGGTTGAAAGCTGCATGCATCACCCAACGGTGGGAACGCAGAGGAGATGGTACAACAGACGCCAGACGAGTTTGACTCAGCGCCCTGACAGTGTGAGGAAAGTGACATGTGCTAAGGACTGACAGAGGAAGACAGTTCTCAGAGGTGTGAAAAACATTTTCAAGTCAGACATGTTGGGGAAAAAGATTTTATCTGTCTGTATATGTCTGCACCAAGCACGCACGCACGCACGCACGCACACGCACACGCACACTTCAGTGTGTGTGTGTGTGTGTGTGTGTGTGTGTGTGAAACTGTGGTATCTATGTCAGACTGTGGTTACTTTGATCCAATAGGTGTGTTTTCCCGGTACTTACCGGGTCCCTGCTCCTGTGTATAGCTGGGTGAATGGTTGCTATGGGTGTGCAGGGACTGCGCCCTCTGTTGGCGGGCGGAGTCACAGGTCTGGTTGGGATGCCAGGCCTGTTTGCAGTGGTAGCAGAACTCGGCACCACAGCCTTCTCTGCGACACACCAACCTGGGACAGCTGGCACAGCCTGAGGCTATGACAGCAAATCTGAGAGGAAGCGACGGACAAAGAGAGGAGTGTTCAATAAGGTGGAAACTGAAGAAGTCAAATTAAAAAGTCAGAAAAAAGACAACATTTGTTGATCGCTTTGAGGCAATAATTGACAATCCCACAGTCTATCAAAGCTTCATGAAGCAGGATTGAATAAAAACCTAAAATGAGAAAGGGCTATTAATACTACTGATCCCACTGAGTCTACATGTCAAACTGCGGGCAGCTTCTGATCGCAACCAAGACTATTTTTTGATTTAATGGGAATCCATCCAATAATTGTTGAGATATTTCACTCAGAACTACAGCTGTCAACCTCATGATAGCACTAGAGGAAAAGTCAGTATGAATCATTCTCTGGCCACCATGGATATTATGGCAAACCAAAACTTTTGGAGACATTTACACTTTTTGCTACCATGTTAGCCACAAGAACATGTTAAGATGACATTATATATCATGGATCACTGCTTAGAGTTGTCTGAGTGCCTATCCGCCCTAGGGTCTATCTGACAGTTTAGCTGTTTTAATTTTAATTTTACTGTTTTCCCCCACTGAATGATAGTGTCACATACAGTATGCATTCTGTAACTGGTTGTTGCAACATTTCCTTGTAACAATACAATGCTGACACAGTGAAATTTTCAAATCCATGCCAAGTGTGGCAACATCTTACATAACAGAGATGTAACTTACGAAATGCAGCTGACCGTTATATCAACCACATTTTCTAAGATATATTTATCTGTAATATGGCCTCTAATGGGCACATTACAGCCTGAAGGCTATCTGTACACTGAAAGGAGGAAGAGAAGAGGTAATCAATGGAGGAATTACTTAGTAACAACATTGAGAGAGGAGGGGAAAGAGAAAATGGACAAGGTCAATCGGATTTCTCTAAGTTGAATATTGTGAAAGGTTTCAGAGAAGAGCAGAATGTGATGGAGTTATTGGAATGGCATGACACGAAGGTTGTGTTTAGAAATGACCAGCAGGGAATTTGTGTTTAATTTCACTTCCATTGATGGACCATGTTATGCAGAGGAGAACAACTCAAGATTACTCTCTTACTCTGACTATATTTTATCCAACAAAGTGCGGTGAGAAAATATGTTATAAAATGTTCATAAATCATTTATAAATCCCCTAAACAAATCGTGTGTTCCTTGACCTGTGGTCCAGCTTTCCACCAAATTTCAATGAAATTTCTTACGTTTTATCCTGCCAACAATCTAGCATACACACCTAAAACTTATATGGCTTTCTAAGTGGAGTTAAAACCGACAAAACAAAATTGCAGATTTTTCTGGTAACTTCATAAAGAATACACATTGTCAATGCAACTATACCAGACTAACCATTCTTTTGTTGTGCACTGAAGTTAGGTAAACACATTTCTAGGCAAATAACGGTAAATATAGCAAAAAGGGTGGCATTTTGTAACAGTAAGGACAAAAAAGGCAATTAAAGGGAGGGAGGGAGACTAAGATATAAGCTGTCAATCTCTGAAAAAATCACAAAAGAGGCCAGTCATCAAATGTTTCACAAAGTGGGAGAAAACATGTTGGAGGAGTGACAACAAAAGCGGTTTGTCTTTTTTCTACATGATGGACAAAGACGCAGTTTCCTGCACATAAGTCGGATGTTCAAGTTATACCATTAAAAGTCAGGAAGAGCGTGCAAGAAGAGATAACTTAACAAACTTGTAATTGTTTTGGCAGGCCTCCAACACGTCGGCCCCAACATGTCCCTCATTACCACCTCTTCAAACACTGTGACAGGCCTGTTCTCAGGACAAAATAAATTAATGTTCAGAGGAGAATAGAGTGTGCTTTCTCAGGACAAGATGAGACAAGAACTGGCCTGCGTCTGTGAGGATTTACACTTTCTCAAAAGATAGATCTACAAAATGTAGCCTCTTTTGTAATGTTGAAACAAATATATATATTTTTTTCATTGTCCACAGTGTTTTTAATAGGCCTCAAATGGTTGAATAACTGTACAAGCCTTCGATTCAACTCAGGGAAACAGAAACACAGATGCCATTTTCTTCTGCAACATAAGCGCTCTGATTCAAGTTCACCTAAATAGAAACAGCTGTTTCAAATGAGTAATGATCAAGTGCTTCACAACAAAGTCAAATTCTTAACTATTTCCCTTTTTAAAAAATATCACGCTGACCACTATGTGAAAACCCCATCTCCCAAAACCAAATGTTTGGCACCACTGGGTATTTCCTGACTTTGTAGTTCAGTTTGCTCGTCTGTCTGATATTTGGGTGCCCAGCGCTGAGAGCACTAGCTCCAAGAGTTGAGATATTTCTGTCTGGATCAGCTCAGTGGGCAGAGCAACCTACAAACCCTACAGCTATAGTACTAGTATGGCTAAAAAATAACTACAGAAAAAGAGAGAGATACAGCATATGTTTGTTTGTGCTCTTTATCTGGCTAACCATGGACTTATTGCATGTACAAAGCACAGGTTGCCACAACAACTTTTATCCTGGGAGAGCATCCGACGTCAACGGCGTCTCACGAATGCTGGATTTTGACGTGCCGCTGAGAGCAATTTTTGCTGACATTTCCAGGATGGGAGAGGAGAAAAAAAGGGTCAAACACAGAGGGACAGAGATAAATGAAGCAAAAAGACATTCGAGATGTAAATGTAAAACACAACAAGACGGAGTCAGGGAAAAACACGGGAGGAGAGAGGGAGATAGGCGGAGGAGTTTTATGAGAGCTGACATGCTGCGTGTTGAAAGGAAACGTGTAGAGACAGTCCTTTAGTGTTCAGCTCCACTAAGAACCACCTGGGATTCCTGCTGAGCCTGTAAATGCAACGTTACGACACACACAGATACACACTAGTAGTATTTAACACCAGGATGAACTGAACCTGCAGTCTGACTCACACACAAACACGATAAACACAAGTGCACATTACGCATCAAAGGCAAGAACAATGACACACACACACACACACACACACACACACACACACACACACACACACACACACACACACACACACACACACACACACCACCCAGTGAGTATGTATTGATCTGTTTAATTAAGTCTTAACTCCTGTTACCCCTGGCAACGCTCCCTCTATGCTGCATCGATAGTCGCCATAGAAACTGACAGCCAGAGGAGACGGCAGAGCGCCAGTCTTTGTTCTTGCTGTATGCTCAGGCCTGACAGTCGAGACCTTATTGGCCGCATGAGAAGAGCAGGTCAGAGGTTAACAGCCATGTTATGATGGTTAAGATGAGAAATCAGAAAGATTCCCCAGTTTCCAGAGATAAAGTGGATAATTTTCATTTTTTTGCTGTGGAAAAACACTGAAATTGACAGAGGACCTACGTGTTTGTTTGTTATGTGCAATGTGTTACTTTTTTGTAATATTAATTTGAAGTGCTGCCATCCAGAAAAAGCTTCTACATTCACTGTATTTTGCCAAGTGAGCTTTTCTGATGCATTAACTTTTAAAATGTGATAACACCTAAGGTGTTATCATATTTTAAAAGTTAATGCATTAATTCACCTATTAGGGGCAGAAGAACAAGCTGAAAACACAACATTAACATATTATCTCCTTATAAAGTTGGTATAGCAAATGTGTTAGCAGTCACTTATTTTCACATCCAGCAGATAGGAAGTAACATTAGCATTAATTTGGAGTCATGTTTTTGTACACCTGCTGAATCTTAAGTCCAATATTCACTTTGCTTTTAGCTCTCCAACTCCTGAGGGAAATATCTGACTCTTTAGCTGCTAAATGCTCCACTATATTCACCAGCTAGTCTCTAATGTAACTTCTGTAAATCTGCCTGCTGTTTGGTGTTGATCAGGTAGCGCACAGTGGGTTTTTGGAGCTCTAAAGAACAGTTGCATGTCGGGTCTTAAGAGGACCAAAACAATGAACTGAAAGACGGTAAAGTGCATCATGAAGCTGAGGGGAACTGCAGCGACCATTCACATTACAAATAGTGATAATAGTTAATATGAAAATACTGTGCAGCTTTAATACCACTAAACAACTGTTGTTGAAAGTTAGCCAGCTGGCTTACTCTAGCACATAGACACACAACACAGAAATGTTGATTAAGGTGTGTTAGCATCGTACAGAAAGAAAATGAAACTGTTCAGAGAAGCATTGCAGAACAACCCCTCTCAACTTGTTAGGAACTGTTGAATGAAAACAAATTAAGCTTTGTAGTTCCCCTGAATATAATTTCTTAATCTGCAGGTAGTGGCATGAAACGGGACCTTTACACAGACTTTCAGAGTAAAATTCATAATTTATCGTGATCTTCAACATCTATTCTATTTCGTTGTGTATCTAATTGTATATTGCGAGGACGTAACTAGGCAACCATTACATTTTGCAATGTATCTTTCACTTGTCTGTTACTATGTCATATACATTGTCTACTTGGTATCTTAGTAGACAACAAAAACAAAACAAAAAAACAGGACAAATTTACATAACTTTACCACAAGTGGGCCAATATGCACACATGCAAACACACATTAGGCCCATTGTCCATTTACAGTTATATATTGTGTGTGTGTGTTTGTACAGAGCTGTTTTCTGTCTCCAGCTGGGACTGTTTGTGGTGAATAATAATTTGGACTTAGTCAACTTGTCATATTTAAAGAGGTGGTGAGTCACCGCTTGCATCAGGTAGAGGATAGTCCGGTAAATATGTAGGTCAGCAGTCAACCTCTCCTCCTGTAACACTGCTGGTGCAAACAGCTTTTAATCAGGAAACTGTATTGACTTTAGAAGCGAGGCACCTTGTGTGCTTATCTTAACCTACACGACTAACTGCAGCCTTTACCTGATACTTCCCCAATTCCATCACTAACCTCAAATCCTAACTTTAATCTATATGGGATATCAAGAAGATGCTAAGCATGTTCACAATGTCCAGTAGCAATTAAATGTGCCTCTCTGGGTTCATTTTCATCCCCATTGGGTGTGAAAATTATCCCAACTTATAGATGTATGCTCAGGCTCAGGCTTCAGATGAACACACAGTAGCTGTTAGAAAAACAAGGAACTTAAAAACAGAAATAGATTTGACAGCAGAGGTCTGACACAATGCAGATAGTAAAAACACTTTGGCTTGTGACAAAATATCTCACAAAATACTATATATAATATTAATGTTATTTATGATCCCCTGAGGTTGAACTCTAATGTTTTAGTAACTCCCTATTAAAATATAATGAGCACATGCTCAAGATGCTGAAAAAGCACATGAAAGTGATACTGTGAGACATTTGCTGTTGCCTGTGAGTAACAGTGTGTTTACTTTCTGTTTTACTTTTGATAAAAGTATATAAAACAGTAAAACAAGCAGAGAAGAGTTATTCATTTAGGGAATTAACTCAATAATGTTAGTTAGTTAGTTAGTAAAGTTTGCTAACTGTAACTACCATGTGACACTGGTCATACCAGACCAAGTAAGGCTGTAGTAGCAAACCCCGGTGCATTTTACTGCTAATGAAAAGCAGGATGTTAAACTGTTTCTCTTCTAGTATCCCACCCTAGGGCAATAGTTTCACAGCCTACAGACCTGTTGAATGTTTCTGAATGTATGCAAAAAATTTTGAAAATCTTAAATATAATTTTCCATAAAACATTTCTGCGTTCCCCCTTCCCACACAGACTCACACACAGCAACACAAACACAATGAATCACTCCTGCTTTCTCTGAAGAAACAAACGCCTCTCAGTTGTTCCAGAAACCTAACGAGAGCTGCTCTACCTCCAAACCCATCTGCTTCACCCCTCCACCGACCACAGGGCACAGCCCTCTAACCCAGTTTCTTACTTTCTCTCTCAGAGTGGGTCACACTAGTTCCTGTCGTCTTAAACTAAGACAGAGAAATACAGTCATTTATGAGCATTCTGAATCAATACTGTTCCTCTGAAATCCAGGCAATTACAGCAAAAAGAGTGAAGAAATAACCTAACAGCAACTGAATGAGTGGTTTCATGTCTTAGAGGGTGAAGAAGAGGAAGAAAGAGGAAGAGAGAGTTAGAGAAAGAGGTTAATTAGACAAGTAGAGATGATGTACAGCTACTGGCCTGATAACAACTGTAAACAACAGCAAAGCTACCAAAGATTAATTAGACCTAATAGCTGATGATTTCTTCAGTCAAAACCAGATGTTAAAGCTGCGCATTTTAATCTTAATAGAAACTAACTTTGTTTATTTATCCAGACTTTGGGAACTTTTGTCCCTGATATGAAACTTCATGCAACAACACTCCCCGCATTTAATAAAACATCTGTAATATACCATGAAATGCCTCTGGCTTTCCTACGTTTTTATTTATTGTCTCACTCAAAGTAGATTAGTTTCTGTTCCTCACAATTATTTTTTTTTTTTATTCATTGCACAATGTGAATTCCCTTGGGCAATATAGTTCATTTAAGTTCCGGGACAAACCTTATGAGCGCTCCAGAGCTATTTCATATTTTTACAGTTTAATCTCCGATCAGATAACTTGACAACATCACAGAAACAGGAAGATCAGAAGAACAAGCCGCTTAAATGCTTTCTATAACCTCTGTAACATTCATTATGTCCTCAGCATACTCACACAGTCCAGGGCTGAATCAATAAGTTGATTAATCTATTAGTCGATTGACAGAAAACTAACTGTCAACGTTTTTGGCTCTGGGTTTTGGCTTGTTGGATTGTCAAAACAAGCGATTTGAAGATGTCAAACTTGGGCTTTCAGGGCTTGTGACTTGTTTTCTGATATTTTTATACACTACTAAACAATTTAATGCAAAAATATTAGTTGCAGCCCTACGCAGAGAAAGTCATAAACATGAAGACCTGCTGCTATTTGCTGGAGGGGACCGTAGGGTAGATATACTTGATTTCATAGAAACCGGAAACTAAACATATGTCTGAAACAATCACAGATGAGCTGGGTGTGGGTTAAATCTCAGACCAGCACCTTTAATAAACAGCAGTGAGGACAAGGCTGTAAACATCATGGACAGTTTCTTACCCGCAGTCAGGTGCAGGGCACCATCGGCAGTCTGGGTCAGAGGCGAGGCACCTCCGCAGTAGGAACTCCTCATACTTCTCCAGCAGGGCCGCGTCATTCAAGATGTCTGCCACCTGTTGTGGGACCAGTCTCTCTGCACACTCAGGGCAGCTGAGCTGGACTCGACTCTCTGTGATCTCAATGCGGAGGTACTGCCGCAGGCAGCAGAGGCAGGAGCGGTGGCTGCACCCCAGCAGCTCGGGGAGCTGGTCGGCGGGCTGGCGCACCAGGCACAGGGGACACTCCAGAAGGTTGGCCTCCCCAGAGGAGGGGGCTCCACCCAGAGACGGCTCACTGGAGGAGAGTGGCTTTGAGGGGCTGCTGGAGGCAGCATCATGTGGGGTCGTGGCGACTGTGGTGGTGGTTGTGGTGGGTGTAGCAGAAGCTGCGGCAGGTGCTGAGCTCAAGGCAGAAGGGAGATGCTGTTGTTGTGTGTTGAGATGATGGGATAAAGGGGTGGCTGCTCCACCTTTGGGGCCCCTGGTGCCCCGAGAGCCCCGTTTGCTGTGGAAGAGGCTGTGAAAGGAGATGCGACTCTGGCGTTTGCCCGCCGCACGGCACTTAGGGTTGGGGACGCCGCTCACGGAGGAGTGAGGTGACTCTGAGTCCTTTTCTGATCCCATTTTCCCAGAAGAGACACACAGGGCTGGGTTTTGTCCCCTGATACACGCTAATGTATCTACACAAACACACACTCTGTCTCACACACACAAGGGAAGATTTGTCCCCTTGTGAAAACAGGAATGCAAATGATGATATTCAAGTTCCTGTTAGAAAAACTTTTGTCAGTCACCTCCTTTTCTTCTTTTACTAAGAAAGAAAAGGAAAAGACACAAACTGAAAATGAAAGCGACTTCACAGATTTAAAGTAAAACAAAATTCCCTTTGGCTCCCAGAGATTCTCTCAAACTCGGTGGTCAAAAGGTTTACAAAGAAAAAAAACTACCAAGTCTTTCATCTATCAGGCAGATGTCGAGGTCAAACATTACTGTGATGCTCACTGTCCAACTAAAAGATGAATGACTCTCTAAAAATAGAGATGGTAAAAAAAGGTAGCAGAAAAATCCACAGGAATGAGTTCAGTCGTTGTAATAATTCCTCAGTTTGGATTTAATTCTCTTCAGCTGCATTCAGAGACGCTCCTCTGCTCATCTTCCTCTCGCTCGTAGCTGAACGCCGGGCTCTCTGAACGCCGGACTCTCTGAACGGTCTTTTCTGCCAGGAAGAAGAGAGCAGGAAGTTAGCACAAAGAGCATGCTCAGTATGACACACACCTCTCTTCCTCCTTCTGCTCTCCCTGCTTCTCTCTCTCTGCTTTGCTCTTCCTGGGTTTCAATTTGATCATTAACAGCTGTGACCCTGAACTGATAATCTATCTGTGCTAATTACATTTAAATACACAGACAGTCTCATACACGCAGGAGAATGTTATCTGTATCTGTTAAGTGACCATACTTAAAACATTAAAACACAACAAAATTGAATGAAGAGACACACGTTAAACCACCAATTAAATACATGACATCATCGGCCAGTTAGACCAATCACGTATTCATGTGAAACCAGTCTCTCTATCTGTCTGCATCACACTGAGCACCGCAAGCTCTTCCTCCACTTCACACTGAGCTGCTAGTGCCGTTGCCATGGCGACACTCACTATGAGCGAGGCAAACAGCGACCCACTCTGTGACTCCGGCACTCCAACACACACACACACACACACACACACACACACACACACACACACACACACACACACAGTTGAGCATTGTAAGTAAATAAAAACACACACACACAAACACAAGCTGAAGATCACCAGCCACACACACATTACACATATGTGCACACAAATACATGCACAGTTGAGCATACTCACTGAGACACATGTAAATATACACACCTAAAATGCAAAAACACACGCACATAAGCTCATAAACAAGTAGATACTTTCTATGCATACAGAAATATACACACACTTCCAAATCCAAACAAACACACACAAAAAACAGACATGAAAACATACACACACGTCCATATACATGTAACATCTCTGTGACATGACAAGTGATAATTATGTACACGCACGCGATTGAGCATATACACTGTCACATGTAAAATACACTCACAAGTATATTTATACACATATATACATAGACTTTCAAATCCAAAAATACACACACAATAAAAACAGACATACAACTTTCCTAAAGACATGTTCATAGCACACAAGCTGAAAATCATCACACACATCCCATATATGTACACAAACACACACACACAGTTGAGCAAACACTGGTAAATACATATGATACCCATGCAAAAACACTCACTGGCCACTTTGTTAGGTACACCTGTTCAATTGCTTGTTGACACAAATAGCTAATCAGCCAACCACATGGCAGCAACTCAATGCATAAAGGCATGTAGAGGTGGTCGAGACATCTTGCTAAAGTTCAAACTGAGCATCAGAATGGGGAATTAACTTGACTTTGAACATGGCATTGTTTTTGGTGCCAGACGGGCTGGTCTGAGTTATTCAGAAACTACTGATCTACTGGGATTTTCACACACAACCACACACATACGTATTACATCCTGTGTTTCCACTACAATTACAGGCTGTGCGAGCTACGTTAAGGTGTGTGTGTAACAGACAATTTGGAGCTTTAACATGTCATACAGTTGCATGTTGTGTTTTAATTGTACATGTATTTTTCTCTCAAAACTCACAAGAAAATGTGTAACACTTGGATCTGAAACAAGATATTTCTGAGAAGGTTCTCAGCAGCACAAAGAGAGACATGTCAATTATGTTATGTTACATGAAATAAATCGATACCAAACTGAATTTAAAAGAAGCACAAACCAACTCTCACAGCCGCATGGATGTTTGCTGGTTTTCTCTCTCTGGCCAACAAACGTTGATTTGTTCACAAATCTGATTAAGGCCGCTAGTCTAAACACACACGTACACACACATACACACACTCTGGGGAGTGTGTTCAGGTGTTACACAGAGCACCTGACCAAAAAACAGATGCCTGCCAAGTATTGGCTTCAGGCTGAACTGAAGAGTCATAATTTCCAGGTCATGAAAACAAACCCAAGTTGATTATAGGCTTTATTTTATTTGGATATTTTTATTTTATTTTTCCTAAAAGCTTTTCAAAAAGAATACGAACATGGGGATACTGATATTTGCTGTATTTATGGTCATTGTGCTTTTGTTTCCATTTATGCATTATTTTGGTGTTTACCCCTCTGTATAGCCTGACTTATGTGCCCCCTAGTGGTAAAATCAAAAAAGCAGTAGTGGGATAAGTATTCAGAGTCGTGCCTTCAAAACCTTAAGTATTTTAAGCATTCTCAGCTTAACTTATTTGTAGTATTAAAGTTATTTATTATTATCCAGAAAAATGGCCCCTGTCATATGTTTGTAGTGTTGTGACCATTGAGAGCCATGTATCTCTAAAAAGTCAACTTTACAGCTGATCTATGGGGGGGTTAAAATATTTTATTACGCTTAAGGAGGATTTTCACATAAGGAACACTTAAACCTTTAGTTTTTCAGAAAAATCAGTAGCTTGAATGTGTACTTAAGTACAGAATTTTAATACTTTAAATGTGCAGGTCTGGAAACTATTTGAACATGAGGGGGACTGAATACAAATTTACTTGCAGCCTAATAAGACTTTCGCCCTCCTACATGGTCAGTACATTCCTCTAAACTAAACTATAAGCTTCACACTAACTTTAACCTCTGCGGTCAGTTTAATGTTTCCTCTCTAAGATAGAAGAGACAACTCCCCGGAAAGTCAACCAACTGTCATGTTTGATATCTGCAGCCTATAAACAGTTGTGAGACATTACATACATCACACCAACACGCTGCAGGTTACAGGAAGAGGAAGGTAAAACATCTGAGCAAGTCATAAATTAATGAATGAAAATTACTCCCAACACAGTAAATGGTGAAAAATTTGTGTACAACTACAAACTGTGCACCAACACATACATATCCAACGCTCACCATCTTCTCGTGGTCACCCTGGGTTTTCACTGAATTGTGTGACAGTGCATAAAAAGCCTCAAGTTCCTAAATAAACCCTGCCACCAGCTTGTAATAGCATCACACGCACAAACACTACTGCAGTGTCACAGATGGCAACCTCTATTTGTGTTTAGACAACACTTTTTTAAATAAAAATTATTTAAATTACTGCAATTTGATGTGAACCTTTAACTATATTTTGTGCTTAGTTGTTCTGTTTGTGAAGCGCTCTGTAACATAGGTTTTGAAAAGTGCAACATCAGTACCTTTTTATGCACCTGAGACTATTTAAGTTGTGGTTTCTTCACATTTTCATGCAAAACACCTCATCAACATTAACATGTAAGTCTATGCAAAATCACATGGCATGTGTTAAATAAACAAAACTAAATCAAATTTAGTCGACACATTTGTAGTGGAAATTATATCAGTTTCTCAGTCATTAGATAACGAGTGTCAAGAGAATCAATTGGTTCTCTAAAGACATTCACATGGTAGAAAACCTGCACTGATGATTGAAAAATGATGCTTTAAGTAAGTGCACACTAACCCGTGGGGAATATAACTAGGGTCCCACGGCCTTTTGAGCGTTAAGACTTGGTTTTAGGATTCAGGTTACAGTTAGGGTGAGGAGCGAGGGAAGGCATTATGTCGATGAGATGTCCCCATGGGGTAGTGGATTGTATGTGCGTGTGTGTGTGCACGCGTATGTGCTGTAATCATGCCATGGTTTGGCAGATAGGTCTGAACAGCCTGAGAACTTCACAATCTGGACATGATTTGCTATCAACATGCACACATACACTTTGTCCCACACTTTCCTCCTACTCCACTGCTGCTCAATTCAGCTAACACACACACCAGCTAAACCTCCTCTTCTCACACTCTCACTGCACTGGCAAAGCATTTCTGTTTCTGCTATCGTTAAACTTGTTGTTTCAGTGGCTCTCTCCTTCACACACACAGCAGGCTGCTCTCATGCAGCGTCCTCCAGACTCTTAGCTCTCCCTGCCTGTTTTAATCATTTTCTTCTGGCTGTTTTCTGTATCAAAGCTTTAGAAACACACAATGGGTGAAGTAAGAAAAAGTAGCAATAGCTTATTGTAGAATGGTTTATATCAAAGCAGTGTGTACATCACTTTAATCTTGCAGCTGGTAATGGTGAGGCTAATTTTAATTACTTTAAATCACTAAAGTCTAATCTTTATCTATAATAATACATTATAAATGAATTGCTGATTAGATTTTGTTTTACTAATCTAAACTAAAGTTATCAGATAAAAGTAGTGGACTAAAAAGTACAAAACTTGCCAATTGTAGTGGAGTGAAGTAGCAGAAAATGAAAATACTCCAGTAAAGTCCAAGTACCTCAAAAGTGTACTACTAGCGTAATTGTAAACTTTCCACCACTGGAAACACATTCAGTGAAGTTGCCCAGTTTCATTTCATCTAAAAAAAGACAGAAGAGTGCACACTGTTTATGTGCTGTGGTTTGTAGATTAACGTCATTTAACATTAACAGATAACAAAGATCAAGATTAAACCGCTGACTGAGGGTTTCACTTTATGATCCCCACAATGCAAAGATAATGTTGAGTCATAGCACCACGTCTCAAAAGTGGTTCTCAGGACAAAGAAGGCTGCTGATTTTTATGCTCACCATCTGCGCCAGGAGCGCAATTAACTGAAATTAAGGTTGGAAAAAACAGCAGCTTTCTGTGTTCTCAGGACAGGAACCTACTATTTTAAAGGGTGTGATTTTTCCAGGGGTGAAGTCTAACTAAGTACATTTATTCAAGTAGTGTACCTATACTTCTACTCCACTACAACTCAGTGGTAGCTACTAGTTTTTTCACAATTTAAGGCATCCAAAACGTATGGTGAGCTTATAAAATATGATGCATTGTTATAAACTACAGCTTACCTTAACTAACTATTAACTAATTAATTGTTTACATCCTTTATCAGTCACAAACTAGAGTCACTCTCTGGTTGCAACGTCTCCAGTGTGCTGCGCTTCTCTGATTTATACTATTGTAAATAGAATTAATTTTCTTTAAACAACAAAACAAGAAACAACAAGGAACTAGAATGGACATTTCAAACAAATATCATCAATTCCTATTATTGTTATTTGCAGCCTTACACAAATTCTTCTCTTTTA